CAACCGGAATTCCGGTTGGACCACCGAGGGTCCAACCCGCCCAGTTGGATCCGGTCCGGTCCAACCGGCCGGTGGACGGCACAGCCCTGGGTTGTAACCATATGCTCGAGACCACGCGGCACTCGCTGGGTGGTTCCCGAAAGGGAATAAATCGCCAGGAACTAAAAGGGGTGCTGACGTGGCAAAGGCAAAGTGGTTCTCACCATATGCCTACGCTGACGTGGCACTCACTGGTTGGTTCCCGGGAGGGAGTAAATCGCCAGTAAATGCTGCGTTAACTGAAGAGCGCTGAAGAGGACGACAGAACAAGCACTAACATGGCATATTGACTGGCAATAACATTGCCTACGTGGCATACCGGCAATAACACTGCCTACGTGGCATATTGGAGAGAGCATTGTCTGACTGGCGGAAGTATTGTTGACGTGTCATCAGAGAGAGAGAATTGTTGTGGTTGTAGAAGACAGGATAACGAGGAACCAAAAGAATAGTGGATGACGTGCCCTATTGAGTGCTGACGTGCGACTTATATCTTGGCCTTTGATTGGCCCTGACCGGGACTTACCTGGTTGATGTATTGATTGATGCTGACGTGGACTTACCTGTGTGGTTTTTTGATGTTGTCTGGCCTGTGGACTGACTGTTTATGATTCTTGATTTCAGGTGATAAGTTCGGGAACAATTCCACTCTGCAAACAGCCATACAAATGATTCTATTTTTATTTTGATTGGTTGGATGTTACTGCCACTAACACATCTGACAGACAGCATAGGTAGAACTATTTGCTTCCCTTATTTGCTTTCTGTTTGCGAACTAGTCAAATAAAATAGCTTCGTTTGTAGGAATCTGGACTTACCTAAGGGACCCAACTGTGTATTATCTGATAATGCCACCGATTAAGTATTTTTATTTTGTAATGACCCGCCAAAAACACAGACTGAGAACACTGCTGATTTCTGGGATTTGCCGCTGGAATGAATGCCTTGCTGAAATTCCCGCATTCTGCTGTGATTTCCATGTGTGTGTGTGTGCCTGCCTGCTGGTTTGCATGCCTGTCTGAGTGCTTGTCGGTTGAGTGTGTGTACGACCCGCAAGGGTACTTGTTGGTTGAAGGGCCCCGCAGGGCCGGTACTTACCTGTGGCCGTGACTTTGAGGGTTGCAGGGGGAAAACACTCAAGTAGCGGGGGTAGGCCCGCAACACTTAGAACAGCGGGGAAAAACACTCAAGTAGCAGGTGGGCCGGTACCACTCAAGTAGTGGTAGGGGTGTCGGGTACTGGAGGCCGAGCAGAAGAAGACAAAAGYTGGCATTTTTAGAGGCCCAGTAGCGGTAGGATAGCGGTAGGCCGGTACCAATCCAAGTAGCCCGGGTCTAGGGCCTGTAGGGAGGATAGCAGAGCCTGCAATGATGTTTCCCTCCGAAAGGGAGGTACCGGTTGCTGGGAGGCCGCTCGGCCTAGGAAGTCACCGCCCAGGAGGCCGGTAGGCCGCTATATCTCCAGGAAGAGCAAAGAGCTCTTCCTCATTTGCGGTGTGCAAGGATTGGCGACATGCTGCTGGAGCACAGCGCTGCTTGGAGGTGAAGGGCCGCTGGAGCTCAGCCTGGCTATGGCGAGCACTCCAGCTTGAGGAGGAGGAAGAAGGGGGCATAGTAGGAGAGTGGCGGGGCACTTACCWGGCTACATCTTCATCACCTTGTTGGGCGCTGCATCTGGAAGGCCCCAGTTGGGGTAGTGCGGCACCAGGGAAGCTCGAGGCAGAGTCAGGCATAGCGGACCAAGTCAGCAGCGGCATAGCCGCTTTGAGTGGTCCTTTGGACATCAGCGCAGCACCATAGCTGCTTGGGTTGTCCTTTGGACATCAGCACAGCACCCTAGCTGCTTGGGGTAGTCCGCCATAGCCTATGCATGAGAGAGGAGGCTGAAGGAGGGGAGCCATAACTATGGTGGACTGGTTGTTGTTGTTGTTGTTGTTGTTGTTGTTGAGTTGAGTCAGCAGTAAGAGGGAACTTCGGATATTGATTCTGGTTCATCCATTCATTGTTATTATTATTATCAAGGGAAGAATAAGATTGGTGAAGTGAAGGAGGAGGAGGAAGGTGGAGAGAGAAGGGGGAATTGTCATTGGTCTTGCTGGTGTACTTCTTCTTCGTCTTCTTCTTCTTCTTCTTCTTCTTCTTCTTCTTTCTCTCTCCTCTGGTCTCTATCTCTTTGCAAGTGCTTTCATTTCTTTCGCAATTGGGTGGCATTGTCTTTCATTGTGAATTTGTACTTGGGAAATGACCAGGATCGTAACAATTGGTATCAGAGCGGACTACTTGCTGGCGAGAGGTGTTAGTCACCCTAAACCTAATTCTGAATTAGGTCAGGGCTAACCTAACTTCGGATTAGGGTTGGAAGTTAGGGTTAAGTGGGGCAGTGAGGTATGTGGATACTGCCCCCACCTGGTTAGGTAATGTAGGGTCGACATTTGACCTGACCAGGTTGACTGAGTGAATGGATGGGGTGGCGAGACACAAAGGAGGCTGATTGGAGTAAGCGAGAGGGAGTAGAGAGTGAGAGGTACTCGCACCTGGAATCTGCACTTCAAGAAGACATTGAGTGACTTTTGGGCTTCCCCTCAAGAGGGAGACTTGATCGGAGGCTGCCATATCTGCATCGGATTGCTGCAAGTTGCTACTTTGGTCTTCAGACATCGACGGGGGATCCGGCTTTGCAACAGGGGTGTAGGAAGGCCCTCCTAGTCATGCTAGGACACTTCCTGTAGTGGTAGCTAGGGGTCAGGAGAGGGGGGTGACTCGTTATCCATCTTTGGAGGCCGGGCCTCACAGTTAAGTGCCGTGTGACCTGGTTATGCCCGTGGGAGGGTGCTTGGTACTCCATGGCCTGTTGGGGGTGTGATGGGCTCTCTTCCTCTTCTCTACGGTCTTGGTTGTGTGTGTGAGCATGTGGATTGCTTTCTCACCTGATGGATGGATGGATGATGTATCTATTCTAAATGACATATCTTTCTACGGTGCATTGTCTTTTCATTTTTGAACGGCTGTAGGGTAAGTTCTTGCTGAAAGTTGTCTTTTCCTTTTCAGTACGGTAGAGGCAGTTTGGACCGACTTGGTACCCCTATTATGTTGGTCCTGGTCCACGACATGTTGGTCCTGGTCCACGACCTACTTGGGACCCCTCGGGACCCAGTGGGACCAGGCCCAACGGGACAGGACCTTTTGGGCCCAAATCTGTTGCCGCCTGTGCATTTCTTTGCTGCGCTGAACTTGGGGAACATACGGCTAGCAAGGGCATTCCTTTCAAGGGGATCTTGACTGGTCTTACGGCCTGTTATCACATACTGCCCCGCATCTGGCTCGGCGACCGTCTGCGCCCCTTGAAATCTCCATTGCTGTAGTTAGTTTTCTTCGGCTGATTTATTGTGATACATGTCCCTTGTCAGGTTAGACAAGAGGGGATCTCCAGCTAATCTGATTGGGCCCGTTCTATAAGTCAGCCCTCTCTTCCGTTTTGTTTTTATTTATTTATTTTATTTATTCTTTTGTTCCGCTGCGTGCCATTCTCTAAGTCCAAATGAATCGCCGCTCCGGCTAGGAGTTATACCTTCTTCTCTGAGTGATTTTCTGCTTGTTTCTTTCATCTGAACAATCTATGTCCGGTATTGAGACGTGTGCGCAGACAACTGAGAGAGAGAGAAGGGAGAGAGAAGGTGTTCTGTTTGAGAGTGTGAGGAGGGGCAAGATGAGTGTTCGTCCAAACGTAAGGAGAGAACGGACCCTCTTGAGAGATCTACTGACACCCCTTCCTCCGGCATGGCAAACATCACATCTGCCCAATGGCAGGCCATGCTGGATGCAGCAGATGAGAACGAGAGACTGTTCTTCCATAAGCTTTATGATGATGCCGTGCAGAGGGAAAGGGAGGCAGCGGCAGCAGCCAGAGCCGCCAACATTGCTGATCAGGTGGCCCTCCTTCGGATCCCGGAAGCCAATGCCGACCGGTTCCAGGAGGGACTAGCTGCTGCCGTAGCAGCCTTGGTTCGACTGCGGACCTTAGAAGACCTTGAGTCCCGTGTGACAGCACTAGAGCAGCAAAACCAAGAGTTGCAGGCTGAGCTACTCAGCCTCAAACAGTCCCAACTGTCTGCCCCCCGCCCTCCTAACCCTCGACCTGCTGCAGTCCCAGTCTCTCAACCCAACACAGTCCTCGTGGCAAGGGCAAGTGGAACTGTGACGAGCGCAGGATCCGGTACCAGCTCCTCGAGCGGCAGCGCCGGCAGTTCTACACTAGTCATAGTCCCAAATGCGGGGACATCAGCCCAAAACGCCACAGTCCTTACTGGCGTTCAGTACAGCGGTCCCATGGTGGACAAGCGGGCGGCAACTCTGCCGTCCAAGTACGACGGGAAAGGAGACATTACCTCTTGGATTAGTTCCATGCGGTCATACTTCGAGGTTGTGCGGACACCGCAAGAGGACTGAAGTATGATCATAGGGACTAATACCGAGCCCGCCGTACGGAATCACATTGAGCTCCAAGCTGTTGCTGCAGGCTATGAACGAATAGACCTGACTGAATGATCTAGTCAACCTAGAGGCCAAGTACCTCGCCAGGCGGAAGAAGGCGCCCGCTGCAGGTGGGAAACCACAACGCAAGCGGTTTGGAAGCAGCAACCAGCTTGCACTGCATGATCATCGGGAGGCTGAAGATCAGTCCTATGCGGATGATCTGTCTCTAGATGACGATCTAGAGCCGGACTCCGATATGGGCTGTTCCACATCCGCCATTGAGTCTGACGTCAACGAAGATGAAAAACTGAATGCTTTTAGAAAAATTGCTTCAAACAAGGGGCCCAACCGTGGTTCGGGTAAGGGAACTGTTGTCCACGTCCCCAAGAATGCAAGGATCCCTGAGAAACCGGAGGATGCATCTACCAAGCCTTGGGAAGCCCTCCGTATCAGGCAGAAAGAATGGGAAAGAAGATCTAAACTGTGCATATGTCTGCATTGTCAAAAGCCTGGGCATGCTGTGCAGGACTGTTTTCGACTGCAGGGAAACAAGCAAAGGGCGTAGAGGAGTCCTCAACACTCCCTACAACAAGGGAAGCTGGAACATCAGTTGCAGGCCCCTCCGATGAGCCTGAATCTGATCAACAGCCCCCTCTTGAAGCCCGGAACGACGCTGAATCCAAGGCTGCTGCAATTCATGTGCTTTACACTGAGCCTTGGGAGGAGTCTAAGGAAGTTGACTTCCACGCTCACATGGAACACTGGCTGCAGCTCAAGCAGCAACGCCGTGTCCAAGGGAGTGTAGAGCTAACCTTCTTTAAACTGCTCATTAACCGCCGTTACATCCGCGTGCTGATTGATAGTGATTGAACCACTAATTTCTTCTCTCCTAATGGGATTCGTAAGGCGGGCCTGGGAATGAAGCAAGTGAAATTGCAGAACCCTTTTTTTTGTCAGACCCAGGTGGGCAACCAAGAGGTTGTCACCTCTACACATGTTGTCAACGGTGTGCGCGTCACCTTTGACAAGGACCGCAATGTCACATATGAGCTCAACTTCTATGTCATGGACAAGTGTTCGTTCGACGTCGTCATTGGCTTGGGCTGATTAAAGGCTCATTGGCTAAGGACCACGTGGGCGGACAATCAGTTCGTGGTGCGTGATGCCAAGGGGAACGAGCGTACCGTCCTATTGGATGAGACGCGCAAGTCCCCTGTGACTCTTCTAAGTGCAACCAAATTCTGCAAATCAGTGCGCATGCGCAAGGAAATTGAGCATGTACACCTAGCTTTTGTAAAGCCTCTTCATGTGCCTTCTACTTTTGCTGCGTTTTCTACCTCGGTAAGTAACTCTACTTCTACCACCTCTGCTTTTAATGTGAATAATACTTCTACTTCTAATCCGGTTGTCATTGCTGTAAATTCTCAATCTAATTTCCTTTCTCCTGATGAGGATGATCCTCCACCGAAAGTCCCAACAAACATTCGCCAGCTATTAGATCGATTCCCTGAAGTTTTGGCCGAACCTCGTGGAGTTCCCCAGTGTCCGGTCAAACACAAAATCGAGATAATAGAGGGGAGTGTTCCTCCGAAGGGCTGCGTCTACTGCATGGGACAAGGCGAGTTGGAGGAGTTGAGAAGGAAGATTGATGATATGATTGACCGTGGATGGATTAGGCCCAGTGAATCTGAGTTCGGTGCACCTGTCCTGTTTGTGCCAAAGAAAGGAGGCAAACTCCGGATGTGTATTGACTATCGTGGCCTTAATCCGATCACCAGAAAGAATGCTTACCCTTCGCCTCGCATAGATGATTTGCTAGATGCGGCAGGTGGGTGCAAGGTCTTCTCCAAGATCGACCTCAAATCTGGTTACCACCAGATTGAAGTTGATCCGAGTGATCAGCACAAGACTGCATTCAAAACACGCGATGGGTTGTACGAGTTCATCGTTATGCCCTTCGGTCTTACGAATGCACCGGCCACATTTCAATGCCTCATGGACAAGGTACTTCGCCATCAACTCAACAGGTTTGTGGTTGTGTACCTTGACGATATCCTGATCTTCAGTAAAACCATGGAAGAGCACCTCAAGCACCTTGAGGAAGTTTTGCAGGTCCTCAAGGAGGCGCAGCTGCACCTAAACTTAGAGAAATTTGAGTTTGGGAGGGACAGCGTCATCTATCTCGGGCAAAGGTTGTCTGCAAACGGCCTTGAGCCGGAGGCAACCAAGGTTGAGGTAATCTGAAACTGGCCTCAACCGGCAAACGTACACGAACTGCGTTCTTTCCTCGGTCTGGCCTCCTATTACCGCAAGTTTGTGCCAAAATTTTCTGTCATTGCTCACCCTCTCTCAAGACTAACCAGCAAGAATGTTGCCTATGCATGGTGTGAGAAGTGTGAGACTGCGTTCCAAGCCTTGAAAGAGGCATTGGTGAGTCATCTTGTGCTTCGCATTGCAGATCCCAACCTCACTTTCGTAGTCACTACGGATGCGAGCCAGTTCGGGATTGGTGCGGTGCTGCAACAAGATGATGGTGATGGCCTGTGTCCGCTCGAGTACTACAGCAAACGCATGCCCAACCACAAGGTAGCTACTTCCACGTATATGCGTGAGCTCTACGCCCTGCGCGAGGCTCTCGCACATTGGAAGCACTACCTCTTGGGTCACCACTTCAAGGTCTACTGAGATCATTAGACCTTGCAGTGGATTCAGACACAATCTGAACTCTCTCCTACATTGACCCGCTGGTTGCATGACATTGATGTCTACAGCTTTGAATTGAAACACAAGAAAGGTTGTTATAACCGGGTTGCTGATGCGCTGTCTCGCCATCCTGAATTCTTGACTTGCCTCGTGGGTTCGTATGACCTCCGAAGGAAACTGAAGGAGGATCTGGTCGAACACACCGCCAAGGATCCGGACCTTAGTCCCATCCTTGAGCAGCTCAAGGCTGACCCTAACAGTCAGCCTCATTTTCATGAGTGTGAGGGTCTTGTATTCCGCCGGTATGGGAAGTTTGATCGCTTGTGTGTACCCAACCATGCACCTCTCCGAACGCATTTCTTGGATCTGGCACATGGTCAGAATGGACATTTCGGCTTTGAGAAGACCTATGGAACTCTTCTGCAGCAGGTTGATTGGCCAGGAATGAAAGGATCTGCTCAGAAATTTATTGCTGAATGTCAGGTATGTCAAAGAACCAAGGTCCACAGGCATAAGCCTTATGGCCTGCTGAGACCCCTCCCCATTCCTAATGGACCCGGTGAGTCGATTTCCATCGACTTCACGGACATGGGAAAGGTGAGTGAGGTAGGAAATTCACAAGTCATGGTCATCGTGGACCACTTCTCCAAATTTATGAACTTGATTCCTTTCCCTCCCCATGCCCCAACTGAACTTGTCATCGAAGAATTCCATCAGCAGTACATTCTGCAGTTTGGCGTCCCGAAAACTATCCTGAGTGATCGGGACACCAGATTCATCAGCAAAGATTGGAAGGACTTTACCTCTCAAATCTATGACATTAAACTGAACATGACTTCTGGTCGACACCCCGAAGCCAATGGTTTGGTCGAGGAGATCAACCAGACTGTCATCCAACTACTTCCCGCATTGATTGTCCCAGATCAGAACACGTGGGACAAGGAGTTGCACAAAGTGAAGGGACTGTATAACAACTCCATCCACTCTGCAACTGGCGTGACACCAAACCAGTTGCAATATGGATGGCCGATGCGTAATCCCCTCTCCTATTTGTTCCCTGAACGGTCACCTGGTCTGATGCCCGACATGCCTACCTACAATGCCAAGTACGCACGCTTGCTCAAAGCTGTTATTGCAGCCATGAACAAGCGCCAGCATGCCATAATCAAACATGCTAACAAGTTGCGCAAAGAAGAAAAATCCAAAGTAGGGGATTATGTTTCGGTTAAAATGTCTAAGTTTTTTTATGAAGAGGGCATATCACGAAAACTCCTTCCATTGTACTATGGCCCTTGGCAGATTTTGAAGGTGATTGGGGATGATTTTGGTCCTTCATATGTGATTGACATGCCTCCTCATCTGCGCACGTATCAGGTCTTTCATGCGTCCAAACTGTTTCCACATATTGATGATGAGACGTTTCCCTTCCGAAACCCTATGATACCTCGCCCTATCGACGGCAGCCATGAGATAGACAAAATCGTTTCTCACGAGGGAAAAGGGAGGAACAGACAGTACAAGGTTCACTTCCTCTATCACCCGTTGACTGAGTTCTTCTGGATCAACCGGAAAGAGCTGCTAAAGAGTGTTCCCCGTGTTGTGAACGCTTATGAACGACAGATCGCAGAGGGACAGACTGCTAAATTTGTTGCGATCATAACTCCTCACGTACTTACTAAATCCCTCCTCTTGATTTACTCTTATGATGCATTTTGTGCCAACTCTGAATGAGTTACTCGCTCGAAGGGACCTTGCTCTTGAGAGGGTGGTAATGTAATGACCCGCCAAAAACATAAGCTGAGAACACTGCTGATTTCTGGGATTTGCCGCTGGAATGAATGCCTTGCTGAAATTCCCGCATTCTGTCGTGATTTCCATCTCTGTGTGTGTGCGTGCCTGCTGGTTCGCATGCCTGTCTGAGTGCTTGTCGGTTGAGTGTGTGTATGACCCGCAAGGGTAGTTGTTGGTTGAAGGGCCCCGCAGCGCCGGTACTTACCTGTGGCCGTGACTTTGAGGGTTGCAGGGGGAAAACACTCACCTAGCGGGGGTAGGCCCACAACACTTAGAACAGCGGGGAAAAACACTCCAGTAGCAGGTAGGCCGGTGTCAGAGCGAATACCCTTACAAGGGTATCCGCCCTGGTTTTTGCAAGTGACAAAAAATAAGGTTTGTTAAGAGTTTGAGTATATCGTGCCGAGTTGCGGTCGTGTTTGGTTCGCGTTGACTGAATGGTTGACGGGGAGCAAAGTGTGTGTGAGCGTGCAGTTTCGAGGCGCGCATGATGAATTTTTTTCTTGATGCTATAGAATCGGCATGTCCGCGGACAACATTTTTGGGCTTTGAGTAAAGCTAGGAAAAGTTATTTATATTTGAACTGGCCATGGTGCACCTGCGTTCATACGGCATGCGCCATCGAAAGTGGATTTGCTAGGTGGCGGCACACTTGTGCGGCAGGTGCGACGGCAGCCAAAGGGAGAAATTTACCCCTTCATACAACCACGGCCGGTGCGTAGGAACCGTAGACGCAAGCGGTGGCCTCCGCGTGGCACTATGGGGGGCTACAAGCGTGGCGTACCGAGCAAGGTCCGGTCCCTAACGGCGTGTGCGCACGTGCGGGGCCTTGGGATCGGAGGGGAAGTCAAGCGGCAGCCTTAGCGCTGCTGCCGCCAGCCTAGATGGGCCGACCATACCATTCATATACAGGGAAACGCACAGCCAGTCCAAGCTTGGCCTTAGCCCTATTGGTTACAGTGCCAGACTTTCAGCAGGCGGATCCCGGGATCGAGGCCAGCAGCGAGCAACGGAGCAGCGGAGGAGCGCTACGGAGTGGACTGAGGGGTTGAGGGTCCCGCGGGACTATCCCCCTTAGTTTTTGCGAGGGGTTCCGGCCGCGGGCCCGTGAGGCAAGGCCAAGGACCGAATACCAACGGATCTCCTCCCTTATCCATTTCCAAAGTTTTATTTCTAAAAATTTACTTTTTGGCTTTTTTTTTTTTTTTTTTTTTTTTANTTTTTTTTTTTTTTTTTTTTTTTTAATTTGTTATTTTAGTTCCAAGGCCCGGTGCCGGTACCAGGGCCGGCCGTGGAACCCGGCAGCATAGTTCTATGGATACAACCATGAACTGTCGGGATACTATTATCAGGTTGCCGTCCTTCGGGACATTCGTTAAAATTGGTACAACACAGCGGAGATTAGCATGGCCCATGCAGTCGCACGTAGTAGCATGCTACGCTTGTATGAACCGGGCCGTCAAGAGGGGCCGGGTCCGTGCGCAGTATGCCAGGGGCGCTATGGGGGACTCGCAGCACTGCCGAGCAAACGCTCGTCGGGCTGAGAGGAGGCAGCAGCGATTCAGGCGTGCAAATCGTTCGTCGGAGTTGGGTATAAGGGCAGAGATCGAACCGTCTAGCAGCTGGTTCCCTCCGAAGTCGCCCTCAGAATAGTGAGAGGGTCGGGCGGCGTTACTACGCTGCTGTGGAGCGGAGCGCTACGAGGGGAGACTGACTTCGGCAGAGGCAGGCAGGAGGGAAGTGATGGCGAAGGCAGGCCTTAGTTGGGCCGAGACAAAAGCTGAAACCCGCCCGTTCCGAGTGAAAACAGGCGAGGTAAGGTATTAGATTGGAGCCTTGAGCCCGGGTGACCCGGATGGTGCAGTTAGATTGGTAGGAAGAGGGATGGATGGAAGACTAGATGAAAGAGGAGTGCCAAGTGAATCTGGACGTGGGTTTGCATGAGGTGCATGCGAAACAGACAATGAAGGAAGTGGCGGGGAGAGAAGAAGAGAGGAGGGAACAGCGGAAGGAGCGAGCAAGGTAGAAAGCGGAGCGTCCGACCGCTCCGCTGTGTCACGTAGTCAGAGGGGACGCGGCACTGATAGGAAGAAGGGATGAATCTAGGCGGGAATTGGCACGAGGTACGAGCAAAATGAGAAGAAAGCGGCAACAGGGGGAGTATGACTACGGTGGAGATGGGAGATGTATGCCCAACTTGTTTCTCAATGAAAGCAGGCTAGAGGAGGGGGTAAGTAGGGGTCTTGGGGTCAGGCGAGCTCAAGTATAACGTTAGTTTATGAAGAAAATTAGTAGAATGGGAGGTTAGTGGAGAAGATGATGCGCGGAGATGGCGAAGAACGAGGGAGAAGCGGGATCGAGTTTTGTTGATCTCGCCCGTTTCTTGATGGAAACGGGCGAGGGAAGAATCGAAGTAGGGGTTTCTCAACAGGGCGACTCCAAATCTACACTCAGTTTTGGCCCTGAAGTACTAAGATAGGAGTTGGAGTACACAGATGGTGCGCAAAGCTATGGAGGAGGAAAGAAGAAGTTAGTGCATTGTGGTCGTTTCCCGACCGATTCTGAGGAGAGGAGGCTCCACACTAAGGTTTGGGGACTGAGCGAATTCGATGGTGGAGGCGGATTGAAAGGAGGGGCAGCGGAATTGGCGGGCGTGAAGGAGAAATATAAAGAAGGAATGTATCCATACCTGTTTTAGAGGAAGATTCACCCGACTTTGGCTCGTTGCTGTTTCCTTTGAGAGGGGGTGGGACAGGCGGGCAGCAGGGTAGCGGCATTACCTATTGGCAGAAGTGTGGTTCACCCTTGGGATGGGGTAGTCCCTCCACATCTTCCAGCATGCATAGCTGATAATGCAGTGTATCTGTCCATATGTTAGCAGGCGATACATCGAGTCGGGCCTGGGCCTGGTGCTGCTGATCAAAGTCCGGGGCTGCGGGCGCAGCTGATGAACTCGCACGTCGAAGGGGGAGAGAGAGAGGGTTGTATGGAAGAGAGAAGGGGGGGGGGGGCTACTAACTGGCTACGAGGTGTTTCAGCCATGAGCTCACGAGAAGAGCTATTCGACTGCAGTTGTGTAGTCGGGGGTTGATGCGTGGGGTTGTCAAGTGCACGTGGGGGATCGGGCCCAGGCAGGCTAGCTCAATTGGTAAGAAGATCGAAATACAAACCGAGCAGTCTGCGGCTCAATCATTACTGGGATCGCATACGCTAGAACAGGCTGTAAGGGGCAGCCGGATACGCTACGTTGACAGGGACAAAAGTTGTGAACGGAGCCAAGTACCGGAGTATGATACCAGATTGTGGGCTGTGCTAAACGGACTTGACAGTACAGCGATCCACATGCCGCTGATGAGGTTGCTTTGGCTTCTGGCCTCCTGATTGGGCGGCATACGGATCGTTAATCCGATCATTAGAGGTACAGGCTATGGTTTTCCCCGCATTGCGCAAACCGGGCGGCGGTTGGATGGCAGGATTGTGGTATGCTGCTCAGTTCACTATACGGAGTGGTGAGAAGCTGGCTACGAGGCCATGAGCTTTGGCCAGCAGCGCCATTGGCTGCCGAGCAAGGCCGCAGCAAGATCAACAGTAGGTGTGCTGCCCGACGAGCTACGACTGCTGGAGGGAGGTTCTGAGTGTGTCTGTCTACTCATTAACGGTCAGTGTCCTGGTGCTCGCAGCACAGTTCGCTGTGCTTATGCAGCGCGTTGCCGCTGGGTTACTGCTGTCGCGTTTCATGGCTAGTCCTGCATTCTATTGCCGCTGATGATCAATCACTACTGTACTCCCGCCAGTTGGTGCGGTGTGAAGTCCTGCTCGAGGGACTGGCCGGGTCTTAATCCATGACTGCGTAGCAGCGCAGTTGCTAGCTATTGCTGTGTATTGCGGCACTTCTGTATGTTACTGCCCTGAATGTGGTGCGTTCCGCCGTGTGCTTCAGTCGTGCATTCTGCTACGGCAGTTGTTGAGCTTGTTGCAGGATGCTGCGCTACTCTTGACTACTGCTGTTTGAGGGCAATATTGGCAGATTGAGGAGTGGTGATTGGACTGCTAGAAGGGGTGCCGCTTCAGCATGGTGGAGTGGGGGCGAAAGGAGTTATTGCTGCGACTGGGAGGGCGTCAGGGGATTGACGGCAGACAGTTTGACTTCAGTTCTGACCAAGTTATTGTTGTCTGGCCATCATTGCGGGGCCCTCAGGCAAGTCAAGATAACAAGGACCTCTCCCGCTGGTCTGAGTGCACCTCCCTTGTATCTGAGAGTCTGAACTTTTCTGCTTCTATCTTTCTTACTCTCAGTCTGATCTAAGGTTATGAGAGGAGGGCGGCAGGCGGGATTGCAACCCGTAGGTCCGCGCCAAGGCTTCTGTGGGAGGTTGCCCCACCGAGTGCGGGATCTCTGCCGGAGCCCAGGTGGGGTTTTGGAGGCAGGGAACTTCAGGTATAATTCCGTATGACGCGTGTGATCCCTTCCCTTATCTGTTATCCCCTGGGTATCTGAGTAATACTATGTTAGGTTATTACGTTTTGTTTTTGTTATGTAAGTCAGGACATGCATTGCGAAAGGCTAAATGAATAGTTGTATACGAGAGTTCACATAAACTTGAGTGAATTCAGATAGAATGAACAGGGGGGAGGTGCGATGAAGGAGGTTTGCATGCTTTGACCGGGTCAACCCAAGGCTGAGCTCGTCTACGTTGATGTGGGCTTAGTGCTATGTTTTATTTATGTTGCTGGGCTGACTGTATGATCTTTGAGGGTTGGGCCTATCCTAAGTTGGATAGACCAGTCGCTGTTTCTTTCAGG